TCACTACTGGTGTAGTTTGCTATTTTTTGATAATATACAGTGACCTGAGTTATTGGATAGTTAGTGCCATTGTACTTTTCAAACTCAAAGACCTTGAACTTTGGTAGAATTACAACATCTGGGACCAAATAGAGGTTAGCTGCATCCATGGAACAATAAAAATCTATACCTTTGATGGCTCGTAGTCTCTCTTCCAATAAGTTCATCTTATGATGGGACTTTAAGTCCTCTAAAATTTTAATTGCCTTCAATTTCAGCTTTTTATTCTCTTTGAGGTCATTTAAGTTGGGGTCTAATGCCAACTTTACTATTTTTTCAGTAAAGACAAGATTAGCAAAACTTTGAAATTGCCTTGGAGTTAGTACAAATGACATTTCTATGTAAGTGTACCCTATAAGGAATGTGAATTGCTGTGGTGATGTGCCTTGAATGGATTGGGCCTAATATGGGCTATAGCCACAAAAATACAAAGGGTCAACAATATCCTGCAATAGATGGTCTTTAGGTCTAGCCTCTTCTTCTATAGTCTTCCCTTTGTTTTGCTTGCTTAGTTCTTCCAAAATTTTGCTCAACTCCCTTTAAGCTTTTCTTGGGCCCTTTCCAATTTCTCAATATGGCTTGCATTGTCTTGTTCCATTATTTTGGCTTAGGCTCGGGTATTGTATTTGTGGTGAGTTGATTGAGCTATACTTGAATCTTAATTTTTCATAATTAGGGTGCAAATTTAGAGTGATGTTTATATAACCACCAAATTATGCATGAGATTGAATAAAGAGATCCATGAATGCAACAAGGAAGATTTAATTATGTAAAGGCATGCATATACAATAAAAAGAAAAGGGTTAATAATTATATATACAAAGAATAATATATATATAACATACGGTATTAGTATGCAAATACAAAAGAAATTTACTAGCAGAATAAATGTCACATCATATGCCCTATTTAGGATTTTCTAACACAAAGAAAGGCATGGCTCTAACGTAGGTTCGAACCTTTAAGGTTTATTTATATGCTAGGTTCAAAGGTTTGACAATCTAAGGGTTCTTAAATTGTTCCTTATATCCTTGTCCATTATAGACTAATAAAGCATAATAATTCTCACCCATTATAGGCTTCAAATAAAAAGGTTCAATTTGAGTGAGAGTTTTTTCAGTTAGGCCATGCAGAGACATAAAATCTTACAAAGGCGTAGGTGTTTTACTCTATCATAAAAGACAAAACTCGAGTGTAGAGCTTATGTTATGCATATGCCAATGAATGGCAGATATAAAAATGAATAAATAAATAAATAAAACGAACAAGAAAGAAAAAAAAATCTTAAACTTATTAGGTTAACCTTGGATAACAAGAAATCATTTACTGGCCTGACTCTCCATGTTCCCAGTGGAGTCGCCAAATTGTCATTACATATAGATCTGTGGACCTATCACTAGACATAAACTTAAAGAGTCACTACTAATCTTTTTTGTCTAGGTACGATTGGCCACCTAACTGAATAGTCTGATTTAAAGATGAATCCCAAGATAAATTTAGGTATATTTAAATAATATATTCTAAAATTCATGAAACTAAATTTTAGGTTTTGGAGTACAATTACGACTGAGAAAAGTTATAGTGCCCTCACAATGCCTATCCAAAGGATGGTACCAGTTTAATTTCAAATTATTTAAGCTTTAATCCCATTTATGATTTACCAAAAATATTTAATATTGAAAATTGATCTTAAAATTACTCCAATAGTTTGGAAACAATTTAAAATAATTTTCTCACCTTAGGAGTATTCATGAAACTAGTATTTTACTCTTATGAGGCTTCATCATTGAATTCATTAATATATTTCATTCATAGAAAATAAATATTAAAATCCTTTAATAGTTTAGTAAAATTTACTTTGATGTAGATCTCCTAATAGTTTGGTGAGGTAAATTTATTTTTAGAAACTAAATTAAAATCTTTTAATAGTTTGGTAAGATTTAATTTAAGATGCAAATCTTCCAATAGTTTGGTAAAATAAAATACAAAATATTTTATTAATAATAAATTTTTTTTATAAAAATTAATTTATAAAATTCTCCAATAGTTTGGTAGACTTCATAAATTTAAATTCATGAAAAATCTTCCAATAGTTTGGTAGGATTAATGAATTTATTTTAGAAATATTTTTTTATTTTTTTAAATAAAAAAATAAAATAAAATTCATAAAGGCATTTAAAATAAATAATGTGTTACTCAATTTAAAATGATAAGTAAAAAATAATTAAGGATAAAATAAAAAGAATCTAAAATAAACTAAAAAATAAAATCAAAATAAAATATAGAATGAACAAAGAAAAGCCAAACCTTACAATCGAGTCGGGTTACTTCACGGATGATGCACAGATCCTATTCAGATTCACGTGGGTCAAGGGTTTTTCCCCAAACAACATCATTTGAATTTGATATAAAAACTCAAAATCTTTTATTTTTTGTTAGAAATAACCAATCCCTTCTTTCTCTAAAATGTTTTCTCTCCAATCTTTCTAGGATGTCAGAAAATTCAATCTAATTTTTAGAAGACAGTGAAAACCAAGAAAATGATGAGAATCCCAGATTCCGATGGCCATGAACTTCAAACTTTGTTAGAAAATCACTTGAAAATTTATGCGATTTTCTAGAAAAGAAAAAAAAATGTTCCCAAGATATCCACAATTCCTAGAAGTTCAAAACCACCTTGAAATCCACCCAGAAACCTTGCCAAACCTAATAGATTCTAGAAATGTATCAAGAAACATAAAACCTTTAATGCCTTAAAATTGCCTAGATCTTTCAAAAAATCCCAAAAATTGTCCCAAAATTCAACCAAGAATCTCAGAATTGAAATGTATCCCTTCAAAAATTTCAAAGGTCAAAACCTAGAAAACAAAAAGATTCAAACCCTAAAAACTCCCTCTAAGATTTCCACAAACCATAGAATAAAAAACCCTAAAAAATCCTCTCTTGTTTTTATGTCCAGATCCTCCTCTTGTGTGATCAATTGTTGTTGGTTTTATATAAATCAAATATCTTTTAATTTTGAAAAAATTTACCTAGTTAATTTCATTGATTTTTGGGATTTGATTCCTGGAGATTTGATTTCCAAAATTGTTCCACTAATATGTAGATTTGATGATTTCCTAAAACATGATTCTTCTTTCCTTTTTTATATTTTTATATTTTTATTTTTTACTTTTTGACTTTTTTTTAAAAAATAAATCGAATAAAAATAAAGCAAAATAATATTAAATAATATTAATAAAATAAAATATCTTATCCCGCCCGAAGCTTCCCAATCGGCCCCATTAATAGTTGAAGTTCTATTTTTTATCCTAAAAAAATCTCAAACAAAATGAGATATTTACAGTTGGTATGGTTATTGGTTGTAGCTAAGATTAGTGCAGATGCATATAAACTACAATTGCCTCGTTCATCTAAACTACACCCAATGTTTCATGTCAGTTTATTAAAGAAGAAGATTGGAAGTAAGGTGGTCCCTAGTTTAAATCCAAGTTTAAATCCACTCGATGTTAATAAAGGAAGACAACCATGGTGTACCCTACTGCTATGCTTGATAAAAGAATAGTAAAAAGTAAGAATCAAATAGTGTCTCAGCTCTTAATGGTATGGTTCAATATGGGATTGGAGAATGCTACATGGGAGTATTATGCAGTGTTAAAATCACAATTTTCATCCTTTGATCCTTGGGGACAAAGATCTCCGAAATGGGAAGGTAATATGATGGAATCGATGGAGAGTAGAGCTAGTAGGACAACGAAATTCATATTGGGAAGTAACGGTAGGAAAGAAGCTGAGCTGGAGCTGAAACAGAAAAGAATCAAGCTGAAAGAGGAAACAATAGTTGACTGGCAAAAGTTAGTAAAAGAATCGATGTAACCAACTGGGATGACTTGGCAGCCAATCATTAGACAATTATGCATAGAATTTTGTAATGAGAGCTGTCAAAGTTGGTTATAGCAGTTGTCCAGTAAACATTACTAAATAATTTGGTAATTCTGTTGGATTTACTTTTTTTCTAGAAATGTAGCCATGGATGACATTTTATGATGGGATTTTATGAATGAAAATATCAATTCTCTTTCTTATTCTACTGTTCTTCTTCTTTTCTCTATTCTTATTCTCATTTTAATATTTACATTATCAAGTCACAATGAATCTGTGATAGTATATGGGTCCATGGTTGAGAATTGAGATTTACTAACTGGATTTGTGTATACTAATTTGCCAAAAGATATAGAAGCCCTCGTCCACAAACGATACTACCGAAACATGTGGATTGGAAATTTTAGGGTAAAGTAGGTAATTTAATTATGATCATAATTTTAAAATAATTATTAAATTAATAAAATTTTTAATGTAATCACTAAAATTTAAATGACTTCTTTATCATCAAATTCTTAATTTTTAATGACTATTTTCTACCGACATACTAATATAATAAAGATACATCAGTTGTCAGGTGTCCTGTGATTTTACTATATCAGTAAAATTTATTTTTTACAAAATTTATATTATCATGTTTGTAATGCTATATGACATATCAGATGATGTAATAATGCCAAATGTCACTTGACAGTTGATAAAAGATTACCATAATAAATCATTAGATGCTAATGTTTTAGTGACAAAAAAATATTTATTCAAATTTTAATGATTAAATTTAAAAATTTAATAATTAAAAAATTATTTTAAAAATACAATTATAATTGAATAACTAATTATGTATTTTACTCAATTTTATTACTGGGACAAAAAATGGATGAGTACCTACTAACCAACTAGATTCAATTGGAGGTGGGCCTGGCAACATCTATTTTAGCTACCTCAAACTATTTCCCTGGTGGCCTCCCAACTTCCATCCCTAGCATCACCGTTGAAATTTTACACCACAGATTGATTTGGTTTTCTTAAATATCGTTTAATTAACTTCCTCAACATCCTCAATCTAAATTCTAAATTATTTTAATTTAGAACATTGCTCCGTAACTTTATGCATGTACATAACTACGAATATGGAACGTCATTTTCCAATGTGATTACAATTAACAAACTCTTGAATCAGAGAACTTGATATACTGGTAGGTCAACTTACAAATCATTCGTTACAGTGAGCAACCAGTGCAAGTGTTTAGCAATGGCCATGGACAAACATCATCGTCTAGCCTCTTTGGGCTAGATGTTAGAAAAAATCGTCAGGGAAAATTCAAGAAAAAGTTCACTGTTGTGGTGCAGTGGAGTGACCACCAAGACCGTGTCCTGGTACAGTTTCTGTGCCTGTAGAATCCTGAGATGCCACATTCAAGCCTCCATTCTCAGCAGTTTCTAAAGCAACATCTGCATCATTAAGTGCACCGGCATTGCCTGTTCGGACGGGACGGAGCAAACCTTGCAATCTCAATAAATAGCTCTGGCTGGGAGGCTGGGTTCTCACATATTGGGTTGTTGTTACTACACTGGCTGATGGTCGTTCAGAGTCAGCACTTCGGAGGTTGGACAAGGCACTGAGGTCAAGATTTGGGAACACAGAACATCGGCATCGAGGACACTTCACATTCAATCTAAGCCACTCGTCAATGCATTCTACATGAAAATTGTGTGCACAAGGCAAGCCACGAACCTGCAGTACTTGTTAGAAACTCAGGCTCATATGCCACAACCAAAATGTAAGATTTAATATGTTTTAGACTATGAATAAAACTATTTGTAAGCATCTTCAGATGTGAAAATGAAAGGTTTCTCATCATAGTATTATATGCATTTTTTTTTTTTCTATATGATCTGTGTGAATTGCACTGATTTAAAAAAAAAATGTTATATGCCAAGCCAGGATTTACAAACTGGGGACAGAGTATAAATTTCCAAAGCTGTGAACATAGTGGCTCTAACATCAATATAAATAACCTGTACAGAGCCAAAAGTACAAAGTATAAATCCAACTCACTTCTAATTGATGGAGAATAATTCATTTAATCTAAACCATGAAAATTAGTAGTACAGCATAAATGGAGAATGTTAGATAATTGCAAGAGTTGTCCTAAAAGGTTTTACCTCATTCCCTATATGGAACTCTTCCAAGCAGATTGGACATTCACTGCAATCAGTAGGAACAGCCTTTAACCTGAATTTTGGAAGTTCTTGAATAAGTGCCTCCACTGCTTCTCTCTGAGCAAAGACCACAGAGAATGGATAGAAAATCAGGATTTTATGCTTGTAAAACTAGATATACAGTGAAAGTTGCATCACTGCAGTGTGGTTGGAAAGGATAGCATCCACTCCAACCACAGAAAATATATTAAGAAGTACAGGAATATAATAATTAAGCATGATGAGTGTACATCCTCCAGATAAAGTAAGACACTCAGTCAACTTATTCAAAGATTAGCAAGAAACTTTTTGATTTGCCATCCAAAATGAATCTACAGGAATATACATGATGTCAATGTGCGTATTTTTTTAGTGGGAGGGGATGGAGGGAAGTTGAAGGTTCCTACATTTGACTAATCAGTGATGCTGCCCATTTCCAATTCCAAACGATCTTATTTACATAGATAGACTAAGCCCCAAAGTTCTTTTAAACTGCTTCTATAGTGTAAGTTTGTACAGTCAAAATGTAGAAAATCTATAAGAGGGACTTCAAGCTCATCTTTTCTAGGTAATTATCAACAAAATTTTAAGATAATGGAAACCATCAATTTGGTTCATAATAACTAAGCATCAACCTGAGCTGGAGTCAAATAAAGTCCAGGATGGTATGATGCTGTATCTTGGCCCATGCCTCTCATCTCTTGGCCTGCAGCTTCAAATGCCCAATCTGGTACTCGAATCATGTCCACCACAACCTGGATTAAATTAAGTGTCCAGTTAAGGAGCCATCAAACTGACATGGAACCTAATATGGAAATAAATTTTATCTGAAAACTACTAACACTTGTTCAGACATGTTTTACATGGTCAAGGAATTGTATTACAATTATAAACTAGACAAAAATGTAGGAGAGAAGAAGAATAATTCAAACAAAAGGCAAACTGCATCTCATAATCTTAGAGATATGCAATAATTGAAACCACTTTAGATACTTCTCTGAATTCAATAGGAGGTGATCAAGACAAACATGTCTTACATCAATACAATAATGAAGAAGCTATAAAAGGATGCCAAGCACTGAGAAAATTGAAGTGACTCAGCAGCACTAGGCTGCATTACCTTTCTAGGATATAGTCAATGTTCTTGTCTATTTACATAATTAGAAATAGATTTCTACTCAAAGATAGTTATAGTATTGTAATTTCAAACAACAAATTAGGAATTTCATTCAAGCTTCTCACAACAAACTCCATGAAGATTGGACAGAAAGAAAGATGAAAAATAAACCTTTAGCACAAAATGTGCAATTATTTACATCATAAACCCCATAATGACTACACTCAAATCCACACAAAGTTAAATCTCTTTTGTTTCTCTAAGCGCATTAATCTTTCTTTGTACATTTCTTACATAACAAAAGTATATTTTATCCATATTTCAATATAAACAACATGCTTTATGCATCTTCTATTTCCATGAAACTTTCAAACAAGTAATACGCTATTAATAGCTGAATTTCAAGGAAATCATCATCTAAGACAAAGTTTCCAGGATACACAACTCAAGATATATGTAGCAACAGATTCAAGAACTCACCCCATATTCTGAAATAGGAATCCCCTGCTGAGCAAGTAATAGGTGTGCTTGTCTCCGTGCCATCCACTGCAGAAGAGGAATTTCATGAACAATGATAAGAACATAGCAGTCAAAAAGCAACATAACCAACATTTTAGATGCTCTAGGTACACATCCATGCCAATGAGAACACGTGACATAAAAAGTAAAGAAACAGAAACAAAAGAGAGCCCTCAGCATGAATCTGTAACACACATCAAGGTCATTGATTAATTGAATGACACTCTACTGGTAGTATAGGCATGACGAACCTTTCCCATAGACATAAAAGCAATGCAGAGCAGTCCACAGTAACTAAAAAGAAGCCAAATCAGGAAACCATATTTCTGACCTTCTTCTGGCAGCTGCATGTTTACAACATTAACTCCAGTCATAAGATAGCTTGAACAAGACAATGATCCTGACAACTGTGAAATCATAAAACACTTACACAGTTCCTTGCGCTGGTGAACCATAGAGTGCCAATTATAGTCCAAGCCCAAAGAAATGGATAAAGTAGCAGAGATAGAATTGAAAGAACCACTATTCTTCCACAAAAACGAGCATACCTCTGCTGCCATCCAAAATCCCTAGAAACCAAGAAGTCAAACAAAAGAGAATTACCCGTCAAGTTAAAGTCAGTTACCAAAAGAATAATATTTTTTATAGGCAAAGCTCCTAAGTAGAGAAAAAACTCAAGCAACTATTATAGAAGAAAGAATTGTGGGTAATTGCAATGCAAAACCAACAGTACAATAAGGAGAAATAGAATTTTAACCATACTTTTCCTGGCCAATTGGCATTCTAGTATCTAAATTGAGTGGCATGACAGCAAAACTATGCAATTAAAAAGCAACAATTTCTACTTCAAGAGGTTTAATTCATAAGCCCCTCATCAAATCTTCACTTAAACTACTCAATAGTAAAAGAAACGAAGTCCTTACAAACCCATTCCAGCGGCAAGTCCATTATCTACAAACATCAAAAGACGAAAAACGAACACAGTAGTGTAATCGACCTGAAACAACAGTCATTAAGTTCCAAATTTAGAAGAAAATTTTCCTACATCAGCAAAATCCAAAAGGAAATAACTTTTCAATCCATACAAAAATTCTCAAAACCAAAAAACACTCACCACAATCCATATATGCAACGGGTATGTACAAAGATGATAGCGCTTCCAATTGATTGCAACAATGATTCTAATGGAAAACAATTGTCAAAGAACAAACAAACATTTTACACATAATCCTCAGTCCTCACTTTTAAAGTTTATAATCTCAAAAGAAAACAACAAAGATTCACTTTCTTCCCCCCTTTCCTCCAATTTTCCCAGCAACCAAACAGTACTAAATTTTTTTCACATAAATGCACATAACTAGCAAGAAAAAGATTCAAAAGAAAAACGACATTCCAAACTGAGAAAATTTAAAAAAAAAAAAAAAGATACACACTTGTAGCCAGCATAGACAAGAAGAACCCATCATACCTGCAACAAGAAAAAGAAAATAATAACCCCCAATTTTTAACTCCATAAATAAATGAAAGAGAAATTAAAGAAAAGGAAAACAAACCACTTGAAATCGACTCCTCTAATAGCCATAAAGGAAAGAGTTTAAAGAAGTGTAGGAGATGAACGAAACGGGCCTTAGAAAGAGTAAAAACAGCATAACTACAAAGATCGAATCTTCATTTGGAAGACAAAAAAGAAACAGTGATGGATGGAATCGAACAAGAATATATCCGTTCGGTGATTATCTTGTTTTAGATGTTGATTAATCAAATGTAACAAAACAATTCAGTCTCAGATTAAAGAGAAACTAATTACAGACATAACCAAGAAAAAAATAGAAAAAAAAAAAAAAAGGAAGAAGTAATTTGGTAAGCTGGTGAACTGAAAGCAGTCCTTGTAAGTAAACGGAGCGGAGACATTAATCAATCCGAGGTGGAACTTTTTTTTATTAATTAATTAGACGTAATAAATAATAAATTATTTTTACAAAGTGTTGGGTTTTTTTTTAAATATAGACGGTGGAACTGATGACACGTGTGAATTTTACTGACGTGTTTGAATTAGGTCCGCTTGAATTAGGTTGGTTTTTTTATAGGATGGAATCCCCACTGTCCCCCAACAGATGTGTATTTATTTATTTTCACTAACAGTTTTTTGCAATTTATCCATGTTTAAATGTACTACTTTAATCTAAAACTTTAATAATACAATTATTTTTTTTTTAAATCGAGTTTGTGCTAAAACTACTTAAAATTTATTTTCAATTACAAAAATATATATATAAAGAAAATAATGTAAATGAACATAGGCAAATTATTAAAAAAGAAATGTTAAAATGTCAAACGAAATAAATAAATTTTATATAAATTTAATTAAACAGTTTGCGGGTAATGGTCCCAACGCAAAAACTAATGCTAATTACAGAAAAGTGTTGATGACAAATTGACAATACGTCTAAATTCCAAAAGAAACCTTCGACAAGTAAAGAAGTGAATCAGTTTTCAACGTCTTTGATGGCAGGTTTATCTCACGGGAAGTCCAAACTCACCGCCCATGCATTCCGTTCCAAATGGACAAAATTTTCATGCTACAATGTGATTGCGGCCTATCCAACAACCCATTTTAAGACATAAAAGTTGGAGTCCTGGTCATATCCAATCTTTGTGATTTTGGCAGCACACACCACAGTAATTACAGTGGTCAGTGGCACAACAAATAAGATAGAGCCCCCTTCGGGAACTGGCAATGTTCCTAAAATAACGAGTGAGAACTCCAGATGTATGCACTTGGCAGATCAAGAATAAATATGAATATGAGTAGCTGCCTCAGCTCCAGGTAGCTGGTTTGTACGACGTTTGTTTTCTGAATATAAGAAACTAGAGGGAAACATGGTATATCACTTTGAGAATAAATATCCTCGGAGCACTCATGATACGACACACCCACTCACCAGGATCAAATTAAGTTTCATTATCTTGTCTATTTTTGTAGTTTAGGTGGCAAGAACAAGTGGAAAGGCTCAATGTTTTTACATTATTTGTTTATTGTGCCCTGAAAGATTTTGAAAACGAAATCTACCAAAAAAAGCAGATCCTGACAAAAACAAGCGGTGGAGTATGATATTGATGGAGATACACCGAAATGAATACAGAAGGAGCAAATAATAAGCAGCAGATTTTTTTTTCTTTTGTATACATTAGACTTTGTAAAGAAATAATGCTATCAGTTACAGTTGGGTGGGTTTAAACATTTATACACAGCGGATGCAGGTTGCTTGTAGGTAGGAATGCTACTTGGATCAACATATCTTACTTCGCCGGGGGCAAAGGAAAGATCTCTGTGCCTGAAAAGAAGCAAAACAATCAAAATTTTGGTGATAATTAGTTTTTTTTTTCTTTCCTTCATTTTTCTGTTTGTTTCTTTCTGGAACAGGATCAGTTCTGTCAGTTATCGACACTTTTATAAATTTGATGCATTAAAGACCATTAGATTACCTTCGAAGGTCAAGTCCAACTAAACCAGCTTGCAATATCGTCAAATTATCAGAATCAGGAGAGACTATAACTACAGTGTCTTCAGAGTATTGAGTCTCAAGGATAGACATGAGTTGTGTCACACGAACAAATACATCGGCCACACTTTCATTTGGAGTTCCATCATCTATAGGAGGTGGCTTGATTGTAGAAGAAATGCTATCCGATTCATAAACCTGAACCATTTTAAAGCAGCCAATAACATTTCTAAGCTGTTACTTTCTCAACTATCAACTATACTCACAATAGCTCAGGCATCCAAGGGATAAAAAAGTACCATCCTTAATTTAGTTTATGATTTCTTAAATGGAAAGCATATGCACAGCAGACAGACAGAAATTACACTAACAAAACATGTTATATATATACCAAATAAGGATCATATATAAGCAAAGAGATCTTACTTCTGAAACGGCTTCCAGTTTCTTGCCTTCATATGCTCCCAGTCCACGAGCATCGAGGAAGCTATACTCTGGAACTATATAACTGCAACAAATTCAAATTGTTTGGAACAACAAATAGCAAGCCAATATTCATTGATCTTATCCTATTTCCAACCGACATAAATATGTATTGTCTTGCAAGAAAGTGGAAGAGAAACAAAGTAAGTTCATTCCTCATCATTCAATGTTTCAACTAAACCATCTATAGACATCTATGTTTATTTTCATGGATTCAAGTTCAATAACAGCAAACAAAAAATTTGCTTCTTTCAAGAAAAGCTGCATTTGTTTCCTAGTTAATTGAGTTCATTAAAATATGTACATTAATTTGCATACCTATTGTGGCCAAAAAAAAAAAATTGCATACCTACGACTGACTCCATTAACAGCAGCAATGATCTCAGCAGCCTGGTAAGCTCTTTGAGTAATTGAAGGCCAAATCCAGCAGCTCCTTTCACAGGCCCCCATTGCCTTCAACTCCAAAGCAGCCCTTACTGCCTGCTTCTTCCCTTTCTCTGATAATCCACTATCGACTGATGTTTTTGTTACAGGGTTGGTGTTGATTATACCTAAGCTGTCATATTCAGACTCACCAGCCCTCACCAAGAAGTACCTTCGCACAAACTCAAACAATTAAAACCTAATTTCAAAGAAGAAATTGGCCACAACAACCACATTTCACACCTTTTGATTGCAAAGAAGTAAGAAAATTACATTAAATTTGAACATCCACATAATCCTTTATTCACATCATTTCTACCCACATAGAGTTAAAACCTTCAATTAGCTAAAATTGAACATAGAAAATAGTGAAAATATGTTAAACATATAGCTGAATTATCAATTTTCTAATTACTAAGAACTTACTCATTAAGTTAACAGGAAAAGACCCAACTTTTACATTTAAGTGAACATGACCCCTTCATTAAACGATTAATGAATTTTATAGATAGATTCAAGCGTAGAAGAATGGCACAAGCAGGAACAAAAGAATTGCTCATAAAACCCAGTGTGGAAGACACTGCGTGAATAACTATAAAATGGAGATGAGGCTTCCAGAATTAGGACATGGAACCTCTGCCCTGATACCAAGTTAATGTATAAAACTGACTGAAAGAAAGAATTTTGTATTTCAAGTTAAATTGAACACTATATGTAAGATGGAAAGGGTTTATACAGTCTTAAAATACATAGTATATGAAAGTAAAATAGTTATAATTACACAAAATCTCGCAATTAGTGTATTCATGTTGCGTAAAATTCGTGTATTCTTATCATGTAAGAGGTGCACGATTCCTTTGTTAAAGAGCAGGATTCGACTAAAAAAAGTTTAGGCTATACCCAATTCATTTATCCACTTAATGATTTCCAATTTCTCTTCAATTTCCAACAATTCTGTCAGCAACCAACAAATATAAACTAAATGAAAAACCCAGAGAAGAAAACGTAAAAGAAAAAAGAAAAAGAAGAAGTATTTTGGAAGGGGGGTTACCTGTTACCGAGGCGAGGTGGGGGCATCTGGAGAAGGCCACGTGCAGTGGCAACCGAAACTGAGACAGAGAATGAAGCTAAGGAGAGGGTAGTGAGGGAAGTAAGAAGCAAGTGGCGGCGGTTGATTGGTTGGCAAGAATTGTGGAGGTTAGGCGTTTGAGGAGTTGCTGTTGGTGCTGGTGCTGGTGCTGGTGTTGGAGATGGTGGAAGAGAATGAGATATGGAGGCGGTCGTTATTGTCAGCATTTTGGCGGGGTTTCCACCTTCCAGATTAACTAATAACTACCCAACATCCCTTCAACTAAAGGGATCTTTAGACTTTAGACTCTTAACCGGAACCGGAAATTCTGTAATTAGCTTTCATCGGTTATGGGCCGTACACTCGGAACCTATTTTTCTTTTCTTGCTTTTTTTTTTTTTTTAATCTCAATCTACTCTTATGCTCATTCCATTGGCTAAGTGAAATAAATAATTAATTAAAAAGTTTTAAAAATTATTAACTAAATAAATTATTATTATTGTAAAATTAAAAAAAGAAAAAGTAAAATAATTGCACCTATAATTTGTTAAAATAAAAGAAAAGTAGGAAGAGAGTTATAACTCCATTAAAAAACTAAATTACTAATATAATTTTATTAATATATTATTTATCTTTTAATTTGATTTTATATATTTTCTCCAATGGAATTAATATATTATTTATTTTATAGTTTAATTTTTATATTTTTTTTATAATTGAATTTACATCACTTGACTTGTAACCATAATTTTGTCAAATTTTTTATAATTAGAATAGAAATATAAATAGTATAGAGATATAGATATATGTGGCTTCACATATCAATTTTTAAAATATATAATTTAATTTAAAACTTCATATAACTTGATAGATACCATAAATGTTCTTTATTAATTTATTTTTTTTTGCCAATTTAAAGGCACTACTTCAATTTGACCAAATCTACTAATAATTCGATATTTCAATTCATTTATTTATTTAGAGAGTAAATTCAAATGGATAATTATATACAAAGGGGTTATAGGGTTTTAGTAGGTTATATTTATGAAATTAATTTTTTAATGATAATTAATTAGACACGTAATAACATTTTAGCCTGTTTTATTAATATGTATATTATTATAAAAAGCTAAAATAATAAAAACAAGCCATTAAACTTTATCATTCTATTTAAATAAATTTTTATATTTTAATTAGATTTAAATAAACCTTTAATTTTAATTTACATCTGAATAAACTAGAAAACTTTAATTTATATCTAAATAAATTTTTATTTTTTAATTTATATCTAAATAAACCTTTTTATTTAAAATAAGATATATTTAAATACAAATTTAGTGAATAAAAATTTATTTAAATACAATAAAAATATAAAATTTATCTAAATAAAATGATCAAATTTAAGGGCTCTTTCAATATTTTCGTTAAATTTTGTGTACAAGTCAATAGCACTAAAAAATAAATTGTAGGTATTAAATAAAGTTATAATAATATCTTATTGTGAGAATTTTATATTTTAAAATCCAGTTCTACTTACTTTTTCTCCATTTTAAAGACAGAAAATAATTCCTTATAACTTGCGTGAAGCCCGTTGCAAATTTGTTTTAGGAATGAAAAAAAAAGTTGTTTTTCATAAAAGAAAGGTAAGAAATATAATAATTTGAAGTCAAAGACTTAAAATAGTTCCAAAAAAACAAAGAATAATAGAAAATGTTTAAAACAGTTTTAAAAAACAAAAGATAATAGATAATGTCACACAGAATAGTTCATCCAAATTATTGGTATTTCTTATGAATGAAACTTATTTAGTAACTATTTAACAACTCATTTGATCCCTGCCTGCTATCCCATACAGAAAGAACATGGTAGTTTTCTGCAGGTACTGGGAGGACTTCCTCTTGTTCATTCATTAAAATTGACCTAGGCCCTAAGACAAACTTGGACAGATGATGAAAGACAACCAAACAAAAATGTCCATCAGCCCATGTCTTGTATTATTCCTTGCAGGCCATTAACCATAATTAATATTTAATTAAGTTATAGGATACTCACGTTCTCCCTGCAAAACAATAAACAAACAGGTTATTGCTCTGCAGATTTGGCACAATCAATCTATAATGCAGCAACAACAGCCGCTTATAGGTCACAACATATGAAACAGCCCTATACATAATGCCAATTCTGAAACTAAAGAGAAGCCTAAACCTAGCATCCTGATGTGTGAATTTAAAACCATTTTGAATAAGTAAACAGAACACTAATCTCTCATGCCAATGCAAAATCACAGCTTAAATATCATACCTATGGATTTGTACGTATTTGTATCATCAAACAGCTGACCTAGCTTCTCCAACGTAAAGAAAGCACTCTTCTTTTCTCCTTCCTTGTTTCGTATCTGGTTTTGCACCTAGAAGTCATAGGATTCACTCACTTCAGTCCCAGAGGTTAAAAGATACTTCACAAGTCTTTTGAGAAAATTATAGTGGGGTAAAAGATCACAATAAAACTGACATCAATTGTACAACAGCCATTCTTGCACTTAAATACCAAAAGAAAATTTATTTTGAGGGTTTTTTTTTTAATATATATATATATATATATATATGTAAAGGAAGATGAATGGCAACAGCAAAATTGACAAAATCGAACAGGTAATACATTTGGAAGAAGTTTGAGGTGAGACCAAGTGAAAATAAGATAGTGAAACTGTATTATAAGATCATTCCACGCCCAAAATAGACAAATAACCCATAATGCCATTTCTTTTGCTATGACAACAATAGACAAAACAAATAACGAAAATTTTAACATGTAATAATACATGAAAATTTAAGTTACTGTGATGTCTTGTAGAAACCGGGCAGCCATGAAGCTGTATCTTCTTGCCTCCCAGTCACTAAGCTTCCCATTAGGGAGTCTTGTAAGTGGGAGACAATCTTTCTTGATAATTTCATCATCTAAATCATCTACCCCTGTACTACTTCCACAGTTCTCCCCCTTTGCTGGATTTGTTTTGCTTGTTTCAACCTCATTAACTTGGTGACTACCATGAGTCTTGTTCTCCAGCTTATTTGGGCTAACAGCATTGGTTGCCTTCTCTGCGGTAACAGCCAGGGGCTTTAGTCCATAATGAAGATTTGAATACTTGGATGTTAGTATGTATTGTCCATCTACATCGGATGAGTGAAAATTTAAACTTCACTGAGGGATATAATTTCACTACAATCAAAATTAGAAGAATATCTTATCTGAGTTTCAAACCTATAAATAGAATCAAGAACAGAAGAGTTTGACACATGTTTCATTCAAAATAAAGGAGCACCATAGAGTTGGACAGTTGGTCATCAGTGATTCCATAAATAAAGTTAAAAACCAAGAATGTTCACTGTACTCAGTCCCGGTCTATGAGTTGATAAGAAAGACAACATATTACAAACCTTGAGGCCTTCCTTTTCACATTTGAAAAGTACATAACACGCATACCTTGACTTTTGGAACAATCTTCACTGCAAAGAAATATTTCTTTGAAGGGTTTGCACATGGACAATAGTAGAATGGATCTCATGACCCAACTAAAACGAACATTTAAAGACAAAAATATGAATCACCAACAAAATTTACTATCACCAATAAAATCAATTTCAAATGGAAAATCAGAAAAACTGGAATACCATAATTGTTAAATTACAGCTTCAATCCAATGTTGAAAAGCCAATTTTTGTGCTTTGGTGTCTTTGGAAGATCCCTTCCCAATCTAACAAAATTCCAAATTTGATTATTTATGAAAAAACCCAACTTTTAAACTGAAAAATAATAACAAAAATATTTTTTTAATACCTTAGAATGCATTTAAGCAAATACGACTCCACCTTCAAACAGCAGTTTTTGATTTCAAATAATTGAAAAATGAATTTGTGCTGTGATTAAGCCTTGCATAATCTAAAGCCAGCCACCTGAAAAAATAATAATTACTATCACCAAGGAAATATAAAATTTTAAATAATGTAAAAAGGAAAAAAAAAAAAGACAAAGACAAAGATTTTATAAACTTACCAGTGTTCTTCAACGACAACAACGGAGTTTGCTAACTTTTGTTGAAACAATTAAAGAGAAATTAAAAAAAAGAACATGCAAGCTTCAAACTCAAGGAGAAGCAAATTTTTTTTTTACAATCTTGCACAAAAGATTAAAACATATAGCATGAATGAAAGGAGGAGCAAAGCACAAATAAAATTAGGATTAAAGGTCAGAAAGAAAACTATGAAAATTTTAATTCAAAGTACGGCTACAAATTACTAATAATTCGAAAAAAAAAAAAAAACCACAGACACAGAGGAAGTCCTACCAGTACCGGAAGCAAGAGAAATTACGATTGTGGTGGTGATGATTGTTCATGCTAGGGATATATCTTCTTCTGCCAAATTTTAAGTGGGTTTTCCGAGCCCATCTATTGCTAATCTATCTCTTGCCCCTATATATTACTAATCTATCTGTGGCCCCTATAGGAGAGTTAACTGGAACTGTTTCTTGAAAATCTGGATATGAAGCTCCTGAAAAACACCAGAATGAAGCAAATGCACCTATTTTTCTGCAATTTAATAAGAGATAGAGAAAAATAGAGCAGTGAACAATGTTTGGGAGTCCCAATTCCTCTCACTCCGTCTTTTGTCATCCTTGAGCCTTGTGTTTGTTTTCAGTTTTTATTAAATAGATGATGGCCATGCGTTGTGTTGACAGCTTCAAAATATGTTTTCTTTTCGAATTTAACCCTCACTTTTTTTTAAGACATTGTTGAGATGGACGTTTAAACTTTAACCGGGGATATTTTTATTGTAAGTTATATAGATTGTTTAATTCTTTTAAAATTTATCATAAAAGTCAATTATTTTGTTTACTCACTCACTTAGTGTCACGGATTAAGTTTTTTTTCAACAAGCAATAGCTCGTGTGGTACTTGAATGAACGTTTCCACCCAAATCAGCTCTTAATAATTCGATATTTGAACAAATAACCATAAGCCATAGTTAGTCCCTAGCATACTCAATAAAATACATTCATATCGAGATCAATCTCAAGCACACATAGGAAGGTACATTCACATCGACAAAAAGAAAAACACATCAAGGTAACAATCAAGATATTCGAATCGGAGGTGAATTTTATTAAAATCGAGGATATTACATCAGGACTTCCCACCATCGCTAGGGCCAGGGGGCAGCCCTTGGTGAATGGCCTAGGCCCGTATCACGATCGGTGAGACAGTCCAACAGTACACTGCCCACTCACCCTCTAAAGAGCCTTAGAGATTTTAGAGCTATGCTACCACTAACCATTACAATGTTTGAAATGGGGACACTTTTCCTAGCATAAGAGATCTACTCGGTCATGGCC